AATAAAATATTTTTTTTTAAATATAAACATAATGGTAACAAATACTGATTAAATATTAATATTATAATTCTTAGTAATCTAAATAAATATATATACATATATATATACATGTAAATGTGTGTGTGTGCCTATACATATGTGTTTTCTTGAAAAGTGTCCAGATTAAGAATCCCGCGATATTGATTAAGTGTTGTGGGCCGCTAGCAACAGATACACACTAAAACGCTTTACAATGCTGAAAACAAAAAAAAATCAATGCCCAGGGGTGAAGATTCGAGACTTGCATGTCAGCCGACACCGGAAGTGCAACATCCATGCGTCATTAGCGCCCCTTGTTCCGTCAGTGGGCGGGTGTGCTGGGGAGGCTGCACAGTTGCAGAGATGCACTTTCTCTTCTGCTGCACAGTTGCAGAGATGCACTTTCTCTTCTGCTGCACAGACGCACATCTTTAGCGTACTATACAGTCTCTCTGTGACACACACCGCACATTAGGCGCACTACACACAACACTTACACAGCACAGGTCTTCAATCGAACTTTCAACTTTATCTGTGGTGGGGATCTATTTATAAGGCCCATAAGACCTAGTAACAAGTTAAATGTGGAGAATGTGTACACCTAGATTAAAGCCGACACAAATAAATGCTATACTAGTTATCTAATGTATTCACGAGAAAAAAATAGTAACATCTCTATACTTTTAAATTCAGAAACGGTGTTCATATTTGTAAATATACATATTGTATAAAATATTAAAATAATTTATAAAAGACAATGCATCCAAGCTTAGCTATACGGTTCCGGTTTATTCAAAGACATAAGTATTTTAATCAATACATTTATTCATATGAAGAATAAATTTTATCTCACGGCACAAAAATTCAACTTAGCAGTACACTTCATGCGATTCAAAATGACATAATCTTAAAACTTTAGATAACATTAATTAAAAAAAAAATTGATACATTGATACAAAATGCTGAGTTTATAGATATAATCTACAATAATCTAAACCATGTGTCCGTATAGGGCTCACCATAACACGCAACTAAAATTTACAACTCACACTCGCACTCTCCCGACTACACGAAAACTATACATAAAATGACTTATTAAATAACAACATGACTTATTGAATTACGGCGTGACTTATTACATTAGAAAGCAATTTGACTTGCTTGCCAACTTGATCAAGACAGGGACATTAGTAGTTGTAATTTAATTAGCAGGTTTCTCCGTCTGTGTGCGGGTTGGTGGGGGTGGGGTGTGTATGGTGTGGGGTGAATGTGTAGGGTGGGGGAGGGTGGGGATGGCTACAGATACTGACATTGAGTTGCGCAAGATTTTGGATCTACAGCTTTTCGCTCAAAGATAGTTTAGTAAAAATACGTGTTTTGTAAAATAGGACACCCAAATAGTAAAACTAGCTGTTGGTTAGATTTTTAAAATAGTAGCTGCTATTATATTCACTATACTACATTAGCAAGCTAAGTGCTACCGTACTAGTACTAGTACATATCTGTATAGTTTGCTGAAGACAGGAAGCATAACTCTAGCGGTTCAACAACTTGACCATCACGTGACACTTTGTTGGCCAGGATCACGTGGGTGTCAATTATCTTGGAGTGTGACATTCGACGCGGACACAGATAGTTGTGTCGGTGACAAGTGTCCCACACCACGCGCCTCACACCCCACACCCCGCGCCTCACATCCCACACCCCGCGCCTCACACCCCACACCCCGCGCCTCAAATCCCACACCCCACACCCCATACCCACACTAATACTTCTAATTCGGGCAGTTTACATTAATAGGTAGGAAGTTTATAAAATTTAATTCATTAAATTAATGACATTAATTCGGAAGTTACATTGAATAGATGAAGTAGAGTCCATCCATTTTCTATGTAAACTGTATCAACACAGCCCTAAATACAGCTAGATATTTCCATACTAATGTATCTAGTATAGCTAAAGTAATATTAGTGTAGTGTTATCAACACATACCTAAATACAGCTACAACTCGCCACACTAGTGTATTTATTACAGCTAAAGTAGGATTAGATGTGTGTAGTGTGCCCTAATCAATTACAGAGTTGTGGGGATTCGAACCTGAAAACTATCAGTCCAATGGTGGCAAGATGTGCATTGTGAAACAGCGGAAATGCAAACTATTGATTGGGATTAGGGTTAGGAGAGCTAGTTGGTGTAAAACAAACTTGTTTGATGAATTAATGAACCGATTAGTCTTGTTACGGCAAAGGAATGGACGTATGTTTATATACAGGTATATAGGGTGGCTGTTCTAACTGTGGGACTTTGATTTATTGCAAATGGTACAGTGAGAAGTGGTATTATTAAAGTGGTGCAAGTTATAGAGACAGCACTTTATGTGGTGCTATAGAGGTGCTACCTTTAGTTATAGAGGCAGCACTATATATGGTGGTGTAGATGTGTTACCTCTAGCACTATTTGCGGTAGTATAGATATGGCTATGTGTGTAGAAACATACAGATTAACGACGATTGTTTACATACTAACTCTGAATGGAGTTTCAAAATATGAAGAGGGAGTTCACCGATATTAGACAAATAAACACAAGCGTCGGACCCCCCTCCTACACACCTAGTTTCCCTACCCACCCCCTCCACACGCACACTCACACGTGTACAAACAATACAAACACCCACACATGGGTGGTCACACCGTGTGGTTCCAACGGCAGTTCACTCAACCGTGAACTCGACCGCCGGCAGTTGCGGGGGAGGTGTGTGTGTGGGGCGGGTGGTCGAGAGATTAAGGTATTCAAAATGTTTATTTTAGTGGCACACAAACATTGACCGGGCACACACACACACACACACACACACACACATGAGGTGAGCAATAGGCTCTACCCACACACAAACAAACACACGGCCAAACAAATATTTTTACGGTTGACTAATTAATTTTATCTACGCAACTTATCTATTTAAGATTGTGTCAAATATGTGAGAAATAATGGAATTAAATGCTATTTTTGTTAGATTCCATTAATTATTTTGCGGTACCATTTAAATTTTTTCTTTTGATTAATTTTTTAATTGTGTACAATTATATGTTCAATTCAACAAAGCTCAATCAAAAATACATAGATATACAGGTCTACAGTTTGATTAGTATACCTTACAAAAATTAATTTTAATTAATTATGAAATCTTTAAGTATTAGTCAATTATTTACTTAATGACATTAAATTAAGAGGTTCGGTAAAATTGTATTACACAAGAATTACCCGGGGTTCAAAAAGTTACATGAGATTAATAATCTAAGCATCGGTGTAAACTGATTTACATAAAGACAAAAAAAACTAAAAGTTTCGGTAAATGATTTACAAGCGGCCGACAGACCCAGACTAAAATTTATACACTCTACACAGGATGACAGCAGGAATATATTTAAAAGCTGGCACGCGTGTCAATGCGGGTGTGTAGTCGTGACACATGGGGCTACCGGCGTGTTGTGTTGTGTAAGTGTAATGTAGATGTGTGTGTTGTGTAAGTGGTTGATGTCGGTGTGATGTGTAAGTGTGATGTTGCTGTTGCTGTGTTGTGTGTAGGTGTCATGTAGATGTAGCGCAATGAAATGCTATGTCAAACAAATATAAGAGCAATCTGTTTTGATTACAAAACCATCAGATTTTACTTTTTCCAAAAATCTAATTAATTGAATTTTAGTTTTGGATCACAATTAAAATGGGTATATAATAAGTAATCGCATTATTACAGTGAGTACATGATGGTACCAATATAATGGAATTTGTTCAAAATGTTCAGTTCCTTGACTTTAAACATAAAAATTGTTTGAATCAAATGAGAGTGAAGCCTACGAAGTGAACAGTTTTTAATGCTGTGGTGGTACCGCCCACACCTTCAACATCGCCGACAACATCAGCACATCATGATGTGCTCACGCCAAATTGAATTATTAAAAATTCTATCTCCAGCCGTATCTGCAGCTGTCGTCAGATTGTCATGTGGTAATCTTATTGTAGCTGCACGCATGTAGATCTATATCAGACACTAAATGGCTGGTGTATGGTGGTACACATGTTTCGGGATTTGAATAAAAAAAAAATTTATAAATTGATTTTATGTTAGTCATACAAAATTAGCTTTAATTTCGACAAGTATTTTTAAAATCTCCATCTATAAATGGCTAGATATTGTTAATTTTACAAGAATATATAAATTGATATTTTGAATGTCTATTTAATTAACAATATTACACAATTATTGTTTTAGATTTTCAACTTGTAATTAAATTAATATTTTTGTAACTCTGTATTTCATAACCCGGTACCGTCCCCCATTTTAAAAAAATAATTTTAATTTTATTCTAATTTTAGATTTTTTTAGCCTACCTTTATTTAAATTTCAGCTTTAAAAAAATTTTAAAAATATATAGATCTAGATGCTATTTGATATATGCTATTTTTATATATTTTATATTTGTTTTGATATAAAACTGGGGTAGATCTGAAAATTTCAAATCTCTACTGAAGTAATTAGGCCATAATTTACAGATATAAAACATTAAATATTTTGAGTGATTATAAAGTGTTTCTTATCAGTTCCTTTATGTTATCGAAACTTTTCGCGATTAAATTTAAGCTAAAATAGAAACAAATCGATGGATCGGCCATAAAAACTATGAACCTACCAAACATCGGTTTTGCTATAAAACACGGATAAAACGGGACGGCAATTACATTTAACTGCCGAGGCAGTTTTCTTAAAATTTACATTTTATAACTACCCTAATCAAATGTAATGTTGCAAAACTTATTATTGCTGATATTGTTATGTCTAACCTTTTACGCTTGTTTAGATATAATTTTAGGAAATAATGTATCCTGACAAAACTTGTATTTTATAAAGTTTATAACCGGTAAATTAATGTTAGTCCGTTCACGCGCGCCTAATTAAATTAAAAAAAAACATAACCAACTTACCCGTGCTGGATGTCCCGTTGATTTTATCGTCGTCATCCTCATTATCAGAATCATTACCAGTCCTAGGTCTCGCGTCCACCTCCCGGTCCCCCACGGTTAAGTCCTCGGGGTGGTCCGTCTCCTCCCCCAGGGAGAGTCCATCACTACCCACATGTCGTGGGCGCGACTGTTTCCGACGCGACATTTCAAATGTCCAGAAAAACTGACTATAAACTTTGAACTTACAACTAACCGTTCTCCGAATGCTCGGGAGTTTCAATTAAAACATTTTGAAATCAGAAAATAGATACTAAAAACAGAACTTTCCAAGTTCCGCTTGAACTGTAGTCATCGTACCCGTTGGTAGGAGTTCAAATCGAAGCGGGAAGATGAACCACATTTAGCGCACCACAAATCACATTCATTAGCTTGGTAAAACTAGCATTAATTAATTTATAAAATAAATTATAAATAAAAATTATCCATCATCAGCTATTGACTAACCGAAGCACCATTTTGAACCACTTTTCTTCTCACGTGAAAAATCCGCGTTTAATTTAAATAAAATCCATTCAAATCACACGAAGCTTGAAAAAACATATTTCTCCTTATGTGGGTATTTTGTTTTTGTTTGTTTCATATCCTAAGAAACGTGCTGTTGTTTTTTTAGCTTTCCTCCTTTCCCCGTATAGCGAAAAAAACTGTCCAAATCCCGCAGCCGAGCGCGGCCTAGACGAGGGGAGCAAGACACAAGCAAGTGGAACTACACCAATCACCTCCGTCGACGAGAGAGCTTCCCAAACAAACGGCAAGCAGAGGGGGGAAGCGGCCGAGTTCGCCTCCGTCGCTACCACCATACGCGCTTGCCAATGGCGAAGATAATAATCTGAAATACAGAAATGGAAGAAATCATTATCATAACGCCATTTCACGCGAGCTTTCCTATTGGCTTTCTGTGCGGCCCTTTGGAAAAATGACGGCTAGGGGGAGAGAACCACTCTCACTCTTTTATCATTCTCAGTTATTTCCCCCTACCCAGTTATGCCCCCCTTCGTCCGTGTCTTAGTACAGACAACAGCGACGGGTTCGCCCCCTCCCTCCCCACCTCTCCCCCCCCCCTCCCCCCAGTAACAAGGCGAAAGTCGATGGATTGTGTTCAGCCATTTTGCCCCCTACCGCACTTGAAATTTTTTTTTTTTTGTGTAATTGTTTTTTTTTTCGTTGTGTTAGAAATGGTCTTTAAATGGCCCAATCCCCTGGCAACTTTCTCGTGGTGTACCTAGCTGATGTCGCCACTCTAGTGGTGTACCTAGCTGATGTCGCCACTCTAGTGGTGTACCTAGCTGATGTCGCCACTCTAGTGGTGTACCTAGCTGATGTCGCCACTCTAGTGGTGTACCTAGCTGATGTCGCCACTCTAGTGGTGTACCTAGCTGATGTCGCCACTCTAGTGGTGTACCTAGCTGATGTCGCCACTCTAGTGGTGTACCTAGCTGATGTCGCCACTCTAGTGGTGTACCTAGCTGATGTCGCCACTCTAGTGGTGTACCTAGCTGATGTCGCCACTCTAGTGGTGTACCTAGCTGATGTCGCCACTCTAGTGGTGTACCTAGCTGATGTCGCCACTCTAGTGGTGTACCTAGCTGATGTCGCCACTCTAGTGGTGTACCTAGCTGATGTCGCCACTCTAGTGGTGTACCTAGCTGATGTCGCCACTCTAGTGGTGTACCTAGCTGATGTCGCCACTCTAGTGGTGTACCTAGCTGATGTCGCCACTCTAGTGGTGTACCTAGCTGATGTCGCCACTCTAGTGGTGTACCTAGCTGATGTCGCCACTCTAGTGGTGTACCTAGCTGATGTCGCCACTCGCCTCCCACTCGCCCGATACCGATACACGGGAATTTAGATAACGGCGAATATCGCGAAAATATATCGCGAAAAATATTTTCGCGAACTTCCATCTCTCTGCCTCTCTTAGACTTGGACGGCCAAAGTTCATTTGGAAATACCATGGGAGGGAGGAGGGGGGATGTTGAAATAGTTGGACAGTATTTCAACACATGTTCCCTCTACCTGAAGGGTGGGGGGGGGGGGGGGGTACTGTCTGACCTAAACTTAAACCTATTAAACCTAATCAGTTGTTTTTTTTTTTTTTAATTTAATTTATTTACTTTTTTTTGTGAACTATTATCGATAGAACTACATACACATTCTACTTATTACGATAAGTTTTGTCAAAGTTTTAGTTTTGCAATGCAAACAATGATGGGTGCTTATTAGTATTATCATGTGGTCAAATGATATAAGGTGCTGTGTTATGATAATTGTGGGTATAATCCAAGATGGCCGACACACACACAGCTTTATGGCGTAAGGTTAAGTGCCTAAAGCCTCGAATGCCTAGCTTGTAACGTTCAAAATATGACACAGGCAAACATAGACCTATCTAAACATACACCTAGCCTAACATAAACCTACAGAAATATGGACCTATCAAAAACATAGACCTACCCAAACATAGACCTACCGAAGTATGGACCTATTTAAAAAAATAGACCTACCCACATATAGACCTATTAAAACATATTCCTACCATTATTGTAATTTGTGCTGTTGTTCAACTCATGTATGTGATGTTGTCCCAAATGAAAATTTTGATGTGGACGTAATTTATTAGTCATATTCATGTATAAAATGTATTGGTATAGAACCTTAAAACAGCTAAAACTCTTGATTGTAACTACTAAATACGACTACTTACTGATGTGACATATATTATGGGGCCTATAACTAGAGAATACTGTTCAGCTTTCATACAGCCGAGTCAAACAGGCCATAAAAGAGTTCACAAATAGCGCCTTAGATAGCACACAGTTCTACGAGAGCCTAATTGACTTATAGTTAGCTTTTTTTTTTTCAAACTAGCTGCGTGTGTGGCTAGGTAAGCGTTACACTGGCGTTAGACTGGCGTTAGGCTGGCGTAAGACTGGCGTGGTGAATCGCTCTGTCAGTCTGGAGGGCGGGAAGGAATACTTGACAATTGTGTTCACGTCTGCTGGTGCCATTACGCCACCAGCACACTCGTCTGCTACACGAGTTAACACAAAAAACTATTTCCGATAGGCGGAAGGGGTGGCCTAGTATCGGCACATGGCAGGTATTAGGCAAGTAGGCATGCATTGACATACGGAAGGATTTAGGCAAGTAGGTAATAGGCGTGTATCGCCACACTGCAAATTTCAAAACAATTGTCGATATAAAATCTATCAGTATCGACAAAAGGAAGACGCGTAGAATACAACATCGGGTAATGGGCTAGTAGTGTAGGAAATTGGTATTGTTAATGTTACGAATCGTGAATAAAATAAAAGCAACTTACTATTTTAAGTGAAAATCCAATGCACAATATTTCCAATATAGTATTTGTTAATTAAGCGCAGTTGTATCCTTAAGTTAAATTACACAATCATGTTGTCCGTTTTGTCACACAATCATGACAAGAAGTCAATCACACAATCATGACAAGAGGTCCATCACACAATCATGAGGGTACACAATCTGATCATAATCCGAATGATAGATGACGTCCCACTGTGTAGAAATTGGCCACACAACGCCTAGCCCCGCACCATCGCGACCGTTTTACCACTGCAAGGTAAACTGGGAGGGAGGGGGAGGGATATCGAGTGTGTGAGGGGAGGGGTGGGGCGGGTTGCTCTGGGTGTGAGCCATCGGCGAGCGAGGTTTTTTTTTAAGTTTTTTTTTTTTTATTTTAAAGTTAATTGTTCAAACTTTTTTTGTCGTCTTGTTCTAGGCTGCTGGTGAAGGATCAACTTGAAGAGGTTTTTGAATGGGCGGAGGTGGTGGACAAATTGGGGACATTTTAATGACGACCTACTTCCAAAGACTAGTAGGAAACGGGGGGGGGGGGGGGGGGGGGAGGGAAGGCGGGTGATGACATTTCAAACTCAATTTAGTAAATCAAATATAGGCAACACTATATTAAAAACTGCAACTGAAGTAGTAAAATCTATTTATATAGTAGGCCTACAATATAAATAAGATGTACCAAGTGGGGATTAAGAAGGGACGGGGTAGTAGACTTGTGTCTGGAATCCGTCGATAACCAGGAGCTTGAGGTACAACAGCACATTTGATGCAGGATTCTCTTATGTGTTTATAGGATAACAATACATAATCCCTTGAGGCGGTTCTAACGATATCCCAACAACATAGCTATATCCTATGCACAAAATAACAACAATACCCTAAACATACAACAACATAATATCACAAGGACGAAATATAAACAATATATCCGAAACATAAAACAACATAATAATATCCTCAACAAACAACAACATAACACTCCCCCACGCATGCGTGTCGTGATCTTACATAAGACCATTGAATATGCGTGAGTTTGGGCCAGGCAGTCACGCTTATGTCTCCACGCATGGGTGAGCATGATGTGTGTTGTGTCCAACTAGCATGAGCTCCAGACTGTGTCACGTGATTGCCGGTGCGTGAACATGGGGGTATAGCATGCGGGCCCTGTGTGTGTGGGGGGGGGGGGGGGATGGGGTAGGGGGCGCTGAGGACATGTTCAGTTGGCCATATAGGTTAGTATAGGGGTAAGTGTTGTAATCGGGCAACAAAATCGGCGTGTAACACCTGCCTCAGAGGATATAAAAACAGTTTTCTAATCTGGTCTGATTGTCTGTCTGTCTGTGTGTATCCGTGTGTCTGTCTGTCTTTGTGTGTGTCTATCTGTGTGTCCATGTATCTGTCTGTCCCTGTGTGTTTGAATTCAATAAATGAAACACCATTTCAATTAGGTGGGAAAAAATTGCATATATATAAATTCAATCCTTTATGAAGGTTTCTCTCAGCTTTTGTGTGATTTCCGGTAACCGGAAGTAGTAATCTATGTCATGTTTCTCAGGAATAACTTGAGATCTATACTTTTGAGTTTCTAAAAACATATCTAAAGCCGGATATTCTAAGATCGTTTTCGCATCTATGTGTTTTGTAACAAAATAGCGCTTTTGTAACCAACTTTACTACAATTACTATAACCCTATCGCACTTGAAATACCAACCCAGCCCTTCGTGTTCTATACAATCTATACGAATATAAAATTTAGGGGAAATTACTCTCTTTTTATTTACCGAATGTTGATTTAACATACAACTTTACCGCGTACTTAACGCGTGC